CACTTCCATTCTGCAAGACCATTAAGTATGTCTCAGGTTTCCCCCATGGAGAAGGCAAAGCAAATTCTCTCTCTCTCTCTCTCTGTCTCTCTGTACTCTTGTAGGTATCGAATGGTAGAGAACCAGGGCTTCCCGTGTGATTGATGAACCTGCTTCTGTATTTCCAAACTTGCACCACCTAAAAAGAAGCACACTTTGCTTCTTGGTCTGAAACCAGAGACATACAGTATCTCATGCTTGCTTGTTAAGAAAGAGCTAGAGCTAAGAATTAAACAGAGGTTGGAAGACTTCCTCTCTCTATTTGGTCCAGGACCTCCAGTCCCTCTGGAGGTTCTGGAAGTTATGGACCAGAACAAGAGGAATCTTTCCAAGCTCCAGAATGAACCACATCCAGAAAAGCTCTTTTTTTCCTCATCACCTATGATTCTTTTGCCCTTCCTGATTGGGAAGAGATAATGCAGATCTGCTCTAGGAAGATGCCTCCCCATGGCATAGGGGATCCCAACATGTTCTCATGATCAGACTCGTGGTCTGGGATTCAGGAAATCCTGTTTCCCACCCCCACTGAGTCATGAAACTCAGTGAACGAACTTGGGCCACTCACAGCCCTTTGGCCTGGTCTGTCTCTCGAGCTTGATGTGAGGATTCGGTGGGGAGGAGGGCAACGACGTCTGCCTTGAATTTGCTGGAGGAAAAGCCAGTTATAAAAGTAGCACACAACACATAAGAGTAGATGCCCCTGGGATTCTGCAGCAGGTGAAAGCAAATACTCCAAATATTGCCAGTGGTGGGGGAGAAATGGGGACACCTTCCCGCGTTTCTCCCTCCCACACTCACAGACCTGAAGGAGGAAAAGATCAGGGGCAATCTCCACCATGATCCCCCACCCTGAGTAGTTCTGCCTGAATCCCTTGTTGCACGGACAGATTCCACTATAGAGTCCACCTGTTTGTGACGGAAGGGTTTCCATTGGCCAAAGCAACCTCCTTGCTCAAGCTCTGCTCGTACCTGTTCCTTGTGCGAGTAGAACAATCAGGCACGAGCAAACCGGTGACCCGTCGCAAGGCTAATAGAAATAATTTGCAAAGCTCCTCATGTGCAAGAGAATGGACATCTGTTTGGGGCTTTATTTTTAGCAAAGGTGATGCTAGCAGAGCCTCCTTTCTGCAAATTCTATCCATCATCCTCTCCATAATACTTTTTTTTTTTTGCTGGAAAGGAAAAAGATGGAAGAAACTGAAGGCTCCCTAGTAGAAGATGGAGGTACCAGGATCCTATAAGGATCAAGCAGGATTTTTGCGATGAAAGCCTTCTTTGGTCGCATCGTGACTCTAAGACCCTGTGGCTGTTTGCATAACACTGCTGCCATATCCATTGACGTTTGTTCCTGCTCGGCTGCTTTTCAAAACAGGTGTGTGCCATCTGGTAGCAAAGAAAACACCCCAATACCAATGAATAATGAACAGGCTGGTGCAAACAAAAAAAGGGGGGGTGCTCTGCATTATTGATGCAGGGCAGGGGGAAAGAACAGTGGAAGAGGTTGTGAGAGCTCAGGTGGGAACAACACAACAAGCCCTTCTTCTGGCTAGGGAGGTTTCCTCCAAGCAGCCGGATTCAGCCACGGGTTTCCTGGTTGATGCAAAGCAGGCACGCAGCCTCCTGGTCTTCTTCACGCGAGCTTCTTCTGAGTGGAAAGTCCCGCCAGCAAGCTGAGCAGTGCAGGATTGCACCGTTTGGACAAGCCTTGGTTCCATGCAAGCAGAGGACAGCTGTCCTTCACAGAGACCCATCCTGCAGAGCGTTGGCCCTTGTTTCTGCTCCAAGGAGGCTCGAGAGGATGCTGGCCAGAGGCTTGAGGTGGTCCTGATCAAGGGAGGACGTCACTTGCTTTCCCTGGCAATGTGCCCCTCCCTCCAGTGCCTTTGGAGCTGAAGCTGAACCCCCATGCAAACTCTGTTCATTGCTCCTCTCTTTACCCGTTCTAACCCTCCCCTTGAGTTCCCATGGCTGAGCAGGGATTCGAACCCTGTTCCCAGTCCATCTCTGTCACCTCCTAGCATTCCAGAATTAGGATATGTAGATTCTGGTGAAGGGAAAGGCAGCTGTTCTGACTCTGCTTATTATGTTTTAGGGAGGGAGAAAAAAGATTAAAATGTTAACACCACGCTTAGCTTTCTGCACTATTCTTTAATCCCTTCCTCCCCCTCTTGCTTCCTATTTTAAGAAGCCCTGCTGAGAAATCTATTGTTTCCTCTCCATTGATTCTGCAGAAACCTTAGCTGCAATGTATTTTCCTGGCCGAGAAGGGGGAAGGCAAAGCTCCAGGGCTTTGGTTCCCCGATGAGCCAAGCATCAAGCTTTGAAATAAAGGGAAACCGTCAAAAGACCTCTCTGCCTTTTGTCCACTGCCTTCCAGAGGTGGCTGTGGCTGAGCACAGAGGTGGCCTGCAACCCAGAAGCCAGCAGGATTGCCTCCAAATTGCATTGGATCAGCAGCCGCCTCATTCAAGAAACTCCATCTAAGGATTTTTTTAAAAGATTCCAGAAGTCTGAAAATGGCCACAGTAATTGTCTACAGAAATCATATTGCTATATCACCCCAATCCAGAGAGATAAAAGAGCTAGCTGGGGTACAGAGATGGCATCTAAATTTAAAATGGATAAATGCAGCAGCTAAAAATAAAAACAAGGCATAATACTTGTTAAGAGTGCATTTTTGGTAAATATTCTGCAGGCTTTCTCCCGTTGCTCGGAAAGCTAAGTAGGCACTCCAGCTATCACAGTGGCTGAATGCAAAACCACTTCAGAGGGTTGAATCATCCACCGAATCTCTGCAGGCACGCACACCAAGAATCCAGGACAAGCCAGCCCTGTTCTGGCCTATTTTTAATTTTTTTTCTCCAACGAGGTGCTCTAGAAGAGGGCCTGCCGCAGAATGTGTTTACCGCGTGACATACTTTGCATGTCGGCAAACCCAAAACCAGTGTCTGGAACTGCTGGAGCAAAGGGGCTGTGATGACGGGAGGAGGGAGGCACCGCAGGGGAAAGGCCTGAGGAATGGGCTTCTCCAAGCCGGGCCATTGTTCCACTCAGCTTTCCATCTGGCCTGGCCTTCTCTGGGTTTCCAGAACTTTAACTTCTGGATCCTTTGACCCACCTGGAATTTGGGCATAAGGAAAGAAGGAAGGAAGCAACCAAGCAAGGAAGGAAGGAAGGAAGGAAGGAAGGAAGGAAGGAAGGAAGGAAGACTCCAGCTGAGCCATTTGTAGGGTTATAGCAGGGGCCTGGGGTCTCACAGCACATAAAGGCACATGGGAGCATCATAGGGCAGTGAGGACGAGCACCATTTTGCAAGGGAGCCTTCGATGAGTGGTATTGGCCCTCACAGTAACACAGTGATGACAGTTGGTTGTTGTGGGTTTTTCGGGCTCTTTGTCCATGTTCTGAATGTTGTTCTTCCTAATGTTTCACCAGTCTCTGTGGCCGACATCTTCAGAGGACTGGAGAAGGAACTCAGTCCATGCTCTGGTGACACCTCAAGCAACCTCGTAGAGACCATGCCAGTGGCTAGGGAGCGGGAGAATTATTGCTACGCCTGCCACCTTGAGGGCAGGACTTCACCTTCAACTCAAAATTGACCAGATCTGGAGATTTTACCTCCCCTGTGACACATTAGTATGATTTCTGCCAACTGACCCACCCACCCCCCGTGACACATTAGTATGATTTCTGCCAACTGGCTTTTGAGGCACACGACAAAGGCTCCCAGTTTGGACAGGGATGGTTCACTCCTGCAGTGTTTCTGTTTTGGTTTGGGATGCACTCCTCAAACAATGTTGTCGGCAATGAGAGTGAGATACATAAGCTTTGCAGGAGCTGAGACGTTCGGCTGGAACGGGGATGCTCAGAAGACACAAGGTGCCGTTGAACGTTAAGATAAGCTATGCAAGAAACAAGCTGCGTTGCTAAAACTAAAGCTGCTTGCAAACTCTGTGATGTGTTGGGTGACCCCCGTGGGGGGGAAACCTATTGCTGCTCCCCCCAGTTCATTTCTTATATATATGGCTTAATTTAAGGAACTGCTGGACAGCTTACTGGTTTAAAGCATACAGCTGTAGAGCCAGGTTGGGAGTTCAATTTCCCCTCCCCCCATGCCTCCTTGACAGGGCTGGACTCATGATCCATTCACTCCCTTTCAGCTCTGCCGTTCCAAGATTGTTAGTATTATCTCAATTTATGTGAGTCCAGTGCAGCCAGGCGGCCGTGAGCAGCCCCCCCAGGTGTTCAACACTATTTACACCCTCCTACTTCAGCCAGATCTCCTTCAAATCGAATGTCAGCCAGACTTGCCTCGTGAAGCATCTTAGTCGCTCCCTTCCAGCTTTGCAGTTCCATGAATGTTATTATTATCTCAATTTAAGTGAGTCCACTGCAGCCAGGCGGCCGTGAGCACCCCCCCCGGGGTTCAACATCATTTACACCCTCCTACTTCAGCCAGTTCTCCTTCAAATCAAATGCCAGCCAGACTTGCCTCGTGAAGCATCTTAGACCCTTCAAGGTTTGAAGCCAGACTTTATATAAGAGCAACGTGACCAGGAAGTTAATTGAATTGAATTTAACAACAATACCTATTTGTTTTATTTCTAGATTTTGTTTTGGCTGTTGCTGTGTGCTTATGGGTCAGGGAAAGGGGACTTAGAGGTTCAGGGGCTTTTCACAGGATGCTACAGGGGGTTATTTAACCCTGCCATGAGGTCTGGCGAGTACAACTTGACAGGGGAGGGGAATCTGCTCTGAGTTCAGTCTGGCTTTTACAGGAGCTCTCCGTGGTCCTGAACTGTAACCTCCTCTCCACACCACCTCCCCCAAATATAGGTTCAGCATTTTAGACCATTCGTGTTTTTTAAAAAAGGCTAAAAGCTGAACAGAATAGCCTCCATCACAAAATCAGAACCACAAGAAAAGGCGTCTCAGGCAGCCCCGTCTGTTCCGTCTTGCAGGACGAAAACAAGGAAACCGACGGCAGCCTTTTGGGTGACCCGGGCCAGACTCCCCCTGGGAGGAAGGAGAATGTGAAATGGCAGCGGCCACGGCTCACGCGCAAGGCGTTGATGAAATGCTGCTTGGTGAAGTGGATCCTCTCGAGCGCCGCTCCTCAGGGATCAGGTAAGGAGCAAAAGGATACCGTCATGTGGCTGAGAGTTCCGATGGTTGAGAACGTGGGGGTGGTTTCCTGAGCAGAGAAGAGAAGCCTCTTTTATTTCACTGGTGGGCCTTCTGATTTTTAATAACAGAGCGGCACACCAAAATATAGTAGGCAGAGAGTTCTGCATTATTCCTTAGATATGTGAAGATGGTTTCTTTTCCTAGGTTGCAGTTAAAAGCAGAACTGTAGGGGGTGGGAGAGACTTTTGGATGGAGGGTGAAGATGGATGTCACCCTTCGATCTGCAGCCTATATGGGACACCTGACACTCTAAATCCAGGACTAAATGGCTTTTACATGCATTTCTGTCCTCCAGTTGGTGAATATTAGAATGCCATTCCTTCGCCAAAGAAGTTCTGGGGAGGCGGGAGAGAGACTGAGATTGGATTGGATTTATTTTGGTGGATAGACCAGAGAACATCATTTTTGTATGTACAAAATTGGGGGGGGGGAATCTTTAAAATAAATTATTCTTGAGAAGCTGGCTCCCTCCAGTGGCAAATGCTTAACATTATCTTACAGTCTGGAGGGTTGATTTCTTGAGAGACTTAAAATGTTTGCACTGCACTCCTTTGAAGACAACCCGAGAACATTGAAAAAGAGTTCAAAGTCTGCTCTCGTCCATAAGGGTGGGGTGAGGGAGGCCGGCCCTACCCCTGAGATAAATTTAGGAGGGGTGTGTTCCCCCCCCAACTCTTCACCTCTTACAGGGAACAGCTTCACTTCCTAAAATCTAGTGTCTGCATCAAGCTGTGATTGGAGGCGTAGACGAGGGCCTGTTTGCTCGTTAAGACGGGAAATTCTGCCATGGTTCGTCTTCTGGGAAAACAATGTGTTGATGTGAAAGCGCTCCAGTTGGTTGGTGACTGGAATTGAAAGATGAGATCCTTCGTTGGGTTTGCATTATAAGCATCACATCACTGTATCTTGGCTTCAGTTGCTCGCCAGTAAAATCGGAATGATGGCAGCCAGGTGTTTTTTTTTTTGCTTGATTTTGAGGAAAAGAGATGTTGGAACATATGTACGTATATGCCTGTCTGCCTTCCTTCCTTCCTTCATATGCATTGTACTAAGAAAACAGGAAGTCCTTCCTTCCTTCTATCAGTCATCAGCTCCTTACTTCGTTCCTTCCTTCCTTCCTTCCTTCCTTCCTTCCTTCCTTCCTTCCTTCCTTCCTTCCCATCCATCCAATCTTGGGTTCCCAGATTATAGCCTGAGGGGAAAAAAATCAAAGCCACCACAGTTTCACTGAAGGAAACTTGCTTTTCCTCCTGTTCACCCATAGTCAAAATTGACTATGGATGATTATGATGATGCAGAGATGACCAACACCTTGAGGGGAAGCAATTCTTGATTATTGGTACAAAGCTTCTTTTCTCTAGTGCTGAGATTTGGGGTATTCATCCAGCACCATTGTTTGAGATGTTGGTGAAGAGCTGGGTGTTTATTTTTGCAAGGATTCAGAAGGCTTGCTTTGGCAGGCAAAATTTCTGTCTTAAGGTTTTCCTCCTTCCTCTGGTTGCTAATGGCTGAGACTGCCATCAAAGCTTCAACCATCTCCACATACCAGAATAAAGACGGGGGAAGTTCCTTTTTAGACCATCCAAAAGGATAGCCTGAGATTCATCTTTCTTCTTGATCAGCATGGAGAGTACAGTATCCCATATGGATGAATCCCAGGCAGAGGAATCTACCAAACGGACCACTAGGGGGCAGTGTCTTTGTCTCACCGCTGTGCACATGTGGAACAACTTTTTTCACTGGGCCTGCAGGAGAAGGGATAACATCTGTGCACCTTTCAAAAGAGAGAGAGAAAACATTTGAGGTGTGGCCTTCGTCTGCCTGGTTCCCTGTGGATGTTCTGGACCACAATTCCGGACATCTTCCTAATCTGGATATGATGAGAAGGTCAGCCCAACACCTCTGGAATTTTGCATAGGTTGGGTTCTGGTGTGAAGAATCCCTGGACATAGTCAGTGAGAGATCCCAGCCTGATGTTCATAAAATCCTTCCCTCTGAGTCTCCCAAAAGCTTGCAATGCTGGAAAACCCTTGTGGATCACTGGAGACCAAGGCTGGTGGAGAGGCAACTTGTTAGATCTTGTCAGACTCCTAATCCCAGCAGATTGTGGGAGATGATGGGTACTGTAGTCTGAGAACCTCCAGAGGACCACAAGCACCCACCCCTAATGCGGAGGTCTTCTCAGGAGGAAAGGATCGGCTGAAGAACAGCTAGGGAGCTGCATGGGAATTTCCCACAGCCCTTCTCCCTCCCGTGCCTTACGCAGTTTCTTCCCTCCAGAGCTCCAGAGTGTTGCTCTTTTCAAGTGATAGATCTTGGAATGCCCAGCGCTGGCTAAGGAATTCTGGGAGTCGTAGTTTTAAAAAGCATGCCCCCTAAACTCTGAGGCATGCATTCAGGCGGTGGCAGCAAAAGCCGGCAGCTCTCGGGGCAATTGCTAGCGGTCAAGTGATGGAGAGGGTGGGCTTAGGCTCCGAGGAGCCCTAGCCCTGGGTTCGGTGGCTGTTTGTACAATAATTTATTAAACACCTTGCAGGAAAGGGTCAGGGAGCCTTGCCGACGCTTCTTCGTGCCATGAGGAGGCAGGGGGACGACAGATGCAGAAAAAATGAGGCGAGCCAGGTCACGGCAGGATGCGGTCTTGGCACTGCTCGAAGGGAGTCACAGGACGAATTAAGTATGCCCAACTGCACCGGAGAAAGTCAGCAATGCGGGGTCGACACGTTTAGCAAAAAGAACATCCGGTACATCCTTGGGACTCGGCTAGTAGCAGCGAGGGCGCCTGTTCCTCTGCCAGATACAAGCAAAAACAGTTGGGGGTGATTACCAAATTACCCAGCTGTTCCTGATTCGTATTTTTACAGGAAACCTAGAAGGGATCTGGATAAATTATAGCCTTGTTAAACAGTCCAGCTCAGAGCTGGGCCCCCATAACATCTGTTTTCATGAGCTGAACATCTTGTTTGCTTTGCATTCAAGCTCAACACCAATATACCCCAACCATTACATTTAGTAGGGTCAACTCATCCCATTGAGTGGGTGGGTGGGGGTACAGGGGCAGAATAAACTCCTTTGTCATACNTAAAAGAAACATACCCAATTTGGGGGGGGGGGTTCCAAGTGACTGAGAGGAACCAGCCTGGCCACTCCCAGGGATCTCATCACCTGTTGACCTGGGCCAGATCTCCTTTGCCTCTTAGAGGCACATTATTTAAGGATAGCACCATGTGATGCAGTCCCTGGGGTTGCTGGTACCCTTTGGGGAATGTGGAAGGCCTGTACCCCATCTGGAGCTGAAGTCACGGCTTCCCAACTTTTGATGGTCAGCTGTGGTGGCTAAAATTGCCAACGGCTGGAGGTCCGGCTCCACGGGCCAAACAAGGGAAGTGTCTTGCTCTTGCCTGGAGCGGAGAATCTCACAAGGCCCAGAAATTCCTCCCTGAGGTATCCTTTCGACAAACAAGGATGGAGAATTTCACAAGTAGCCTCTATCCACCAAGTTCGGAGGTCCTGAAAATTGGCAGGGAGGCCGGCCAGACAAGTTCACCGAAGGCCATTTCACCTGCTCTTTTGGAGGGTGGGCATAGATTTTCTTCGCCAGGCGGGGTCATGCTGGCCTACATGGATGGCTCGCCCAACCTGGCAGATGGCAGCTTCGTATGCTCAGAGATGCCTAGTACGGCAGTGTGGGTGGGTGTGTGCTCTGGTGGCCATATGGCACGTGGCTGCGGCAGGCAAAACAGCAGATGGCCACCGAGTCTGGAGAGGAGATCTGTGCCGTCCGGGCCTCCGTGGAAAAATGGTAGCTGATCCTAAAGTGACCCGAGGAGGGAGTGGCAGGAAAAAGCCTGTGCAGTGGAAACGTTGTACACCGTGGCAGGACTCTGAGGGTTAAAATGCATGGAGCATCTTTCTCCCTGGAGACCACAAGGGTTGAGTTTGGATTACGTGGGAAGCAGATTGTAGCAGGAGCAGGAAAGCTGGGATTCAGAGGCTCAGACAGGCCAGGCTCACCCTGCGGCGGACGGGATTGACAGCTGCATGGCTGCAGCGCCCCCCCTCCCAGGAGCCCTTGTCCACAGAGAACAGATGCACAAGGGGGGGTGCCCATCGTGGGGAGTGTGAGCCCACCTTCTAGGTTCCCATTCCCAGGAAGGAAAGGGGATCGGGAACCGAGCTAAAGGGGATGGGTGAGCGGGAGAGCAGTCCGCGAGAGGAGCTCCAGGTTCGGGAGCACCACCCTGGGCAGGAGAGGAAAGAGACCCAGCGAAGCAGTCAAGCGGAAGAAGAGAGAAAGCATATGCAGGTGGAAAGGGAAAGAAGGTCAGTGCAGCGGGAGGGCGAGGCAGACGCGCACCTCTCCCCCAAGGAAGCCCGAGTGACTTGGCAGGAAAGGGGCGCTCGAGCTGCAGGGGAGGCAAACCAGGGCGAGAGGCACCCCGAGCCGCCGGAGCGCGGTGGGATGTCCCCCGACGGAGAGGCTAAGCTGTCGGGGAAGCCCGTGCGCTACCTGGAGGTGCGCCTCACGGTCCGGGACTACCGCCACTCTTGCAAGAAGCAGCTCTACCACCTCATCAGCTGCTTGGTCCGCTTCCTGTCGGGGAACCTGTCCTCAGAAGGTAAGCTGTGGGGGGGAAGGAGCCTGGCGCAGGATTGGGGCTCGCTGGGTGCTGCTGCTGTATGAGAGAGAGTCGGAAGGGCGTTCTCAGGTCCACGTCTGCTCGGCAAATTTCAAGGCCCACCTTGTACAAACGGTGGCCCTTCCAAAGATGCACGTCTCATTGAGGTCTCTCCGTGGCTGGTGGTCCACGGCTTTCCGTACAGCAGCTGCAGAAGGGAAAAGCTTAAGACAATGAAGGCTGTCTCCCCCCCGCCCCATGCATCTTTCCTCACAAGGAAGTTGCACTGAGTTCCAGAGGACGTTCGCCCAGGTAAACGGA